CCCTAATTCATTCATTCGATCGTTTGTTTGTTCATTCATTCATTTAAATCCTCACCTGAGGATATGGACACACACACACACACACACACACACACATACATATATGTATATATTTTTTAAAAAATTGATTTTAGAGAGAAAAGAAGGGAGAGGCAGGGGAGAGAGAAACATCAATGTGAGAGAGAAACATCGATCAGTTGCTTTCCATATGTGCCCCAATCGGGGACTGAACCCGCAACCTGGGTATGTGCCCTGACCAGGAATCAAACCCAAGACCCTTCAGTGCATGAGATGATGCTCAACCAACTGAGCCACACCAGCCAGGGCCATGTTGACACTTTGAGAGACTTAAGTCCTAATGGTAATGGTAAATCATTGAAGAGGTTTAAGCTAGGATAGCAGTAAAGATGGGAAAAGTGGATGAATTTGGGCCACCTAAGATAAAATCAGCAGCTTTTGGTGATAGATGTGAGGGTGAGGGGTGCTAAGGAGGACTTGCCTAATAGATGGTGGTGCCATTCACTGAGATGGGGAACAATGGCAGAGCACCTGACATTGGGGGTGAAAATCAAAAGTTTGGTTTCAAACATGCTTATTTTGAGGTCCTGTTAAGGATATACATGCAGCTGTCTAAAATCTCTAGGGGGTCTGTACTAGAAATTCCTGAGTGGTACGTGAAAGGTTGTAACTGAAGAAGGGGCCTGAATGAGAAAAGTTAGTGAGAAAATATAAGTTGAAGAAAAAAGACAACTCAGGATTGAAGTCTGAAGAAGGCCAACATCTAATGTCTTGGTACAGAGATTGAGAAGAAGCAGTCAGAGTAGTCAGGAAACTATTGAGAGTTCTGGGTCACAGACACTAAGGGCAGAATTAATTTGAAAAGGAGATAGCAGTTAACAGAGAAGAGAAAACTGGTAGTGTAATGGTCTTCAGAAGGTCAGAGAAGGTGGGATCAAAGCGCAAGTGGAGGAATTGGCCTTTGACTTGAAGAGAGACACCTGCTCTATTATATATAGTAGGAGCAAAGGAGGACATTGCTAGATTTATGTCTTGGTAGTGAGAGTTGAAGGAATTCTATTTTCTCTGTGAAGAGGTGAGAGTCTCTACTGAGAGTGAGGAGAAAGTAGTGGTTGTAGGTCTAAAAACAGTAGAGTTGGAAAAGAGAGTTGACTACAGAAACATAGAGAGATGGCTGGGCCATAGTATTGAGGACATAACTGAAATAGTGATAATGAATCAATCTGCCTGTTATGTTCTTTTTTCCAACAATGCTTGCTGTTCTTGTGCACACACACAAAAAAACATACTTAAATGAACCAACAAATAAAAGAAGGACTGAACAGAAGTCAAAGTAACTTGACAAATTTAAGGAATAGATGCAAAGATGAAGGACCAAGTCCTCTGCTGCTGTGATGAAGATCCCATTCTTCTATTTGACCTATAATAGCACCCACATCCCACTGCTGACCTTTAGTAGAGCTGGAGGCTGAAGCAGGCCGAGAGGATCGCTTCCGATGTCCGTTTTCCATGCTTTCAGAAGCCACAGTTGGTTCTTCAGTTCTGGAATTTCTCCGGCTTGGGGTTTTGGACTTTTCAATTATCTCTTTGGGATCACTGCTGACAGATTGAAGCACAAAGTTTCCAAGGAGGTGAGGGAATCAAGTCACACAAAAACAGGCTCTTCAGATAAGACTTTCATTCATAAGGCTGGAGAACAATATAGTCATTCTGGAGAGAACCCTGGGACAATGAGCACAATTACCTTCTATATTACAATTTAAAAGTGAGTCTAGCTTGTTACATTAGTAAAAATAAGAGGATTAAAGCATAATGCTGGTGAAATTGTGGAAAACAGGTAAAAGACATTAGAACTTCACACAAAAATCCCCCAACTTCCTCACCCATTTTCCTAAGATATTATTCACCCTCAAAAGTTAATAGTACTGCCCTAGCCAGTTTGGCTCAGTGGTTAGAGCATTGGCCTGTGGACTGAAGGGTCCTGGGTTTGATTCCAGCCAAGGGCATGTACCTCAGTTGCAGGCTTGATCTTTGGCCCAGCGGGGGACCTTGTGGAAGGCAACCAATTGATGTGTCTCTCTCACATCGATCTCTCTCCCCCCCCACTTCCACTCACTGAAAAGCAATGGAAAAAATATCCTCGGGTGAGGATAAAAAAAAAAAAAAGTTAAGAGTACCTAAAATCTAGAAATTACTAACATATACTGGCATTTACTATGAAATCTGGTATAGTCAGATAATGGCTTATTACAAATCATATTGTAGAAAAATACACATGGGAATATATTCACAACACACTGATGGGTATATTGATTGTCCCTACTTCAATCCTTTTTCAGTATGTAAAGATTTTAAATTGGTAATATCCAGTATTACTGAGGATATAGGGACAAAAAGTCCTGATGGAGTGTATACTGTGCCCCAAGAATTATTTGATCTAAACTGTCAATAATTCTGAGGCTGAAAACCCCTAGTGTAATCCTCTGGATCAGCAATTCCATTTCTAGATGCCTAAGGAAACAAATCTTTTTACAGAGCTCTAATTACATACCAGGTTGTCAAAGCATTTTATTCATATTAATGAAAACAGAAGACATAACTGCTTAACAATAGATTAGTAAATTAAATCATGGTACATTATATGCAAACATAAAAAATCAAGTTGTAAAGGTTAATGATAAAAACTGTTCATGAGACTTCCAGTCAAGATGACAGCATAGGTAAAGATGGAACTGGAATCTTCCCACAACCACATCAAAAATACAACTAAACTATAAAACAACCATCATTCAGAACCACTTTAAATCTAGCTGAATGGAAGTCCTACAACTAAGGATTTAAAGAAGCTACTTCAAGACTGAGCTGACAGATGGGCACCATATCTAAGACTCCATCAACCTGGCTCACACTGTTCATCTGTCCCTGATGATGATTCTCTGAGGGCCTGCCCCACCCAACCTGAGGGCCGACCCAAACAGTTTTCAGTGGCTTTTCTATACAACTGGTCTCTCTTGCCTCATGTTTCAGACTTCCCTAAAATCTCTCAAACAAGCAGTATCTGGCTTCAGCATACCTTGTACCTCTTGCTAAGTGGCCACAGGCCAGGCACTAGCAGCAGCCCATCTTGGTACACAGCTTGGTCTCCGTGGGCATCTCCAAGCCTGACACAAATAGCAGCCATCTGCAGATCGCTCTGTAGCTTGTACCAGGTGGCCCAAGGCAGGGCACAGGCAGTGGCTGAATTTGTACCTCCTGGGAGGCCCCAGAAGCAGTGCACCCAGTGGACAGCTTCAGACTACCCCTAATTACAATCCCATCACCTCCACGAGCGACACACTCAAGGGACACCAAAGCCCCACTGAAGTAAGTCCTGCTCCACGGTGTCAACTCCTGCACAGCAGCCAGTTGGCCTTGGGGTCATTCCTTCCCCATGACACCAACAGCAATCAAGGCTCAATTTCAACAGGACAGTGTACACAGCCCACACAGGACACACCTGGAGCGCCCACCTTGGGTGACTGGAGAGGCCATGCCACTTGGCCCTACAGAACACCTATTACACAAGGAGCCTCTATCAAGTCCGAGAGACATAGCAGCTCTAACTAATACATAGAAACAAACATAAGAAAGCAGTCAAAATGTGGAGACAGGTCCCAAATAAAAGAACAAGAGAAATCTCCAGAAAAACTAAATGAATTGGAGGAAAGCAAACTACCAGCTACAGAGTTCAAAACCAATGGTTATAAGGATGCCCAAGTAACTTAAAACTTCAAGGAACTTAGTGAGACTTCAACAGCATGAAAAAGAACATAGAAATCATAAAAAAGATCCAGTCAGAAATGAATGATACACTAACTAAAATGAAGAATAATTTACAGGGAATCAACAGTAGAATAGATGAAACCGAGATCAAATCAGCGGTTTGGAACATAAGGAAGTAAAAAACACCCAGTCAGGCCCTGGCCAGTGTTGTTCAGTGGTTAGAGCATTGACCTGTGCACCAAAGGGTCGCAGCTTTGATTCCCGGGAAAGGGCATGTACCTGGGTTGCGAGTTCGCTCCTTGCCCCTGGTTGGGGTACATGCAGGAGGCAACGAGTTGATGTGTCTCTCTCACATCGATGTGTCTCTCTCTCTCTCTCTCTCTCTCCATCTCTCTCTTCCACTCTCTCTGAAAAGCATTGGAAAAAATACCCTCTGGTGAGGATTAATAAAACAAAACAAAACAAAACAAAACAAAACAAAACAAAACAAAACACCTAATCAGAACAGCAAAAAGAATTCAAAAATATGAACATAGTGTAAGGTGCCTCTGGGACAACTTCAAGTGTACCAACATTCACATCATGGGCATGCTGAAAGGAGAAGAGAGAGAACAAGAAATTGAAAACCTATTTGAAAAAATAATGACAAAACACTTCCCTAACTTGGTGAAGGAAACAGACTTACAAGTTCAGGAAGCACAGAGTCCCAAATAAGATGAACCCAAAGAAACCGATATCAAGACACATCATAATTAAAAGTGCCAAAAGTTAAAGACAAAGAGAGAATCTTAAAAGCAGCAAGAGAAAAGCAGTTAGTTACCTACAAGGGGGCTCCCATAAGACTGTTAGCTGATTTCTCAACAGGAACTTTGCAGGTCAGAAGGGACTCGCAATAAATAGTCAAAGTGATGTAAAGCAAGGACCTGCAACCAAGATTACTCTACCCAGCAAAGCTACTATTTAGAGTCAAAGGACAGCTAAAGAGCTTCCCAGACAAGAAAAAGCTGAAGGAGTTTATTACTACCAAATCATTATTACATGAAATGTTAAAGGGTCTTCTTTAAAAAGAAGAAAAAAGGATAAAAAATATGAATAAAATGGCAATAAATAAGATGGGAAGGGAGTTGGAGGAATGGGTGAAAAAGTTGAAGGGATTTAGAATACAAATTGGTAGTTACAGAATAGTCACGGGGATGTAAAGTATGGAAGAGATTAGCCAAAGAACATATATGCATAGCCCGTGGACACAGACAACAATGTGGTGCAGGCTGAGCAGGAGAGGCAGGGGATAGGTGGAAGGGGAAGAGTGAGAGAAAATGGGGGACATCTGTAATAGTGTCAACAATAACACATATGAATGGATGGGTGTGAGATATACATGTGTGTGTGTACAATGTATAGCATTTATATAGGGTGTCCCAAAAAATGTATACACACACTTTGAATAACTATAAAGGCAGTGTTTATTAAAATACATTTCATTTTCAAAATTGAGCTATCAGCTGTTAAAGTGTGTATATATATTTTTGGGACACCTGTATGTAAACACTACATATTTAAATATAACACAACATATTAGGTGTATATAAACACTAGGTACAGTGTTTATATATAAAACACTCTGTCTCTATCTGTACATATACTCTGTAAAGAGAACTAGAAGATGAACTAAAATATACATAGTAAATATTGTTGAATCACAGGAATGCTGGTTTACTGGTGAGTAATATTCTTCTTTGTAATTCTCCGATCTGTTCACTCCTGCCAGAGGACCCTTCACTAGTGGTACTATGACTGGGAATTTAGCCACATTGTTTACTACTTTAGTTTTATATGTAATGACTGCCCCAGAAGCCAAGGTAAGTCAAGGAGAGGTGAGGCTGAAGCTGGGGTGGAATTACAACTCAAAGATTTACACATCCTTTTAGAAGCAGTGAGGATGGCTTTCTGGCTGGGAGCCCAGAAAATGGTCAGCCTCTGAGGAAGAGAGATTCCTAATGGAGTGCTTCTTTCTCCTGGTGAAACAAAAGCCACAGCAATACTGTCTTGGTGTTTATATGGTCAATGTTCAGGTAGCTCTAGAAACAAATACCTAAAGGGCATTTTTGGTCAGATTATCTTCTTTCTCTAGCCACACAGTTGGTGTATGCTTGGGAAATGTAAATGAATTCAATTATTAGCCCAATACAAAACGAAAAAACCTAGACAGGCCCAGTAGTTAGTAGAAATAGCAGTAATTTTAGAGCCAGAATAACAGGGGTCAAGTCTTACTATGCATTTACTGGCCATGAGATGTAATTCTCTCTTAAGCTTCAGATTTTTGGTCTATAAATCTCCATCTTGTCTGCTATAATACATTAGTGAAGTGTGAGGGCTCTGGAGTCAGGAGGCCTGGGTCTGAATCTCATCTTCACCATTTACTAAATCTGTTACCTTGGATAATTTAGCTTAACCTCTCTGATCTGTACATTCCTTATCTGTAAGAGAGAATTTACTTTCCTAATAGATACTGTGAAAATTAATCAAGATAACACATCTAGGAAGCTTGTAGCCCAGTGCCTGGCATGGAATAGCATCGAAAAAAACACTGGCTATTATTACCACTTCACAGGGTAGATCTGAGGGTTAAATGAGAGAATGATTGTGAATGTGTTTTACAAACTAAGCTGGTGTATAAATATGAGAAATTGTTTAAAATACTATCTAGTGTATTACTACACTGAAAAGGAATGGCTTTTGGAAAACAATAATACTCCTCTCTATGGGGGTAATGAGGTCGAAGCCACAGTTGTATCTCATTTTGTTAGGTTATGTGGGACAGCACAGAATAACAACAGAAAAAGGTAGGTTTTGGAGTCAGACCATGCCTGCCTTTTTCTCTCTTCCGCCTTGAGGATCAAACAGCTATACAGTGGTACCTCAGTTTTCGAATGTCTCCATTGATGAACATTTTGGTTTACGAACGCCGTAAACCGGGAGGAAATGCTTCGGTTTTTGAACACGTCTTGAAGTCGAACATGCCACATGGCTTCTGCTGAGTGCAAGATCCTGAGGCCTAGCTGTTGACTGTTGATCCTTTGGTTTTCAAATGTTTTAGAATTCAGTCTTCCAGAATGGATTACATTAAAAAACCAAGGTACCACTGTACTTCAGAAGGTGTTGCAAGGACTATTATTGACAGTGATATCAACAGCTCCTATATACTAGACATTTACTATTTAGTCACTATGCTGAGTGCTGAACATATTATCTCATTTAGTTTTCAAAACAATCAAGAAAGGTAGACATTTGGCCACCAAGTTTTATTTAAAAAAATGTCACCTCTGAAAGGTTAGGACTCATGACAGTTCCCTACTTTAGAAGAGGTTTCAAGGCTGAGAAAGCAGATATCCTTCAAAGAGGCTTATGCCATATTCATGCTAAGTCTGCAGAAATGATCATCTTACCTTTGTCCAGAGACTATGGAAGCATTTGCCTCGATATCTGTAAAAAATACAAAGGACAGAAATGAGATGTGAAAGTGTATAGTGTGTATGTCCACAGGGAGAAGCTAGGTGTCTGCAATATTCTGAATGCCCTATGGAGGCTAACATGTCTCTGTGCCCAGCAGTATCCTCTCCCTACGTGGTACAAAGACAGAGCTGGCACAGACACAACTCAGTTTTATCTGGGGCATAAGATGCTTACTTGGTCTATTTTTATTTCTAATCCACACTGAAATAATCCTGTTTGGATCAATAAAACTAAATTCATACTGCCTGGTTCACATTTCACCCAGGTATAAATAGGTTAGTAAAATAAGCCTCTTCCTCTCATGTAGAAGAGATTGTTTTTATTGAAATATTTCCATCCTTTTGACACTTTTTTAAAAAAAGACAGTAATCTTCCAATAGGTCTTAAATATCTATTAAGAATGCATTCTCCTTCAAAGGACTTCCTCACAGAATTTTAGAAGGCAGACTGCTCTGCCTACAGACCCCATTATGTTCTTGTTTCTCAACCTCCAAGCAATGCCCTCCAAGAAAGAAAAATCTCAGTGACTTGTCTATCAGAGTTTTGTTCAAGTAAGCCTCCTATGGGTTTACCAGGCAATTCTTTTTCAGCACCAGCAGAAAAACTTCTTCCTCCATTATATGTCTTTAGGTAGTTTCATCTTTTCTAAAAGATTTTCTGGATGCACCAGATAGCAGTTACCTCTCCTGACTCTGGTCTTCCACAGCCCTATCCCTGCTTTTAGGGAACTTAGCACCTCAGACTCAGTATACATGTTTAACATACCCTATTGATTACATGGTAACCTCCTTGAAGACAATGAAGGCAGAGTGCCTACGTTAAAATCCTGACCTCAATGCTTATTAGCCATGCGACCTTGAACAAATTACTTGACCTCTCTGTGCTCAATGCCTTATCTGATAACCACTTTGCCCACTTCAAAGATTAAATGAAATATCACTTATAAAAAATTCAGTACAGCACCTGAACTTAGTAATAGCTCAGTATTAGTTACTATTATTGTCACTATGGTGCTCATGTTCATGCAGCCTTCATGTGAGAAGGCTGGACTACTCTGCCTTTAAAGCAAGATGCTGGCAGAAGAGAATCCTTGCTTCTTATTTGCCACTTAGTTCCCCGATCTGACACACACAACACGGAAACCCCTCCCCAAGAAACAGATGCCAACTCACTGAGTCTCTGCTGCCTTGCTGGCTCTGCTGGAGCAAAGAAATTTAGGTAGTGTGTGCTCAAAAATGAAAATGGCTTGTCGAATGAGGGTTGATTACAAAAACATCACTAGCTTGCTCTTTTGGAACAAAAGTCAGTGCGTTTGAGTCTTTTAACACTATCACAGTTAATGCATGTAAGATGGGATCAAAGGGGTTTGGTGAAGGCAATTAGTAGATTTGGGGGTATTTTAAGGAGATTCATCTAAGTCAAACTCTTAAAAGGAACAGGTTTTCTTGGGCCAGTTATTCTGAGGACACATGATACGGTAAAGCCCATTTTCTAGAATAAAATGTTGGGACGGTAAGAATTCCCCTTCCCCTTTTCAGTTGCTCCTTTTCTCACCAAAAATGAGGCTTACCATCATAACCCCTTCTCTGAATAATCTGTTCTGTTCCATCAATGTCAGGTATCATGTGGCCAGTTGCTAGCTAAGGAAGAGTCTGTGTGGTTGAAATGTTTTTGCTCGTTTATTTGTTCAGAGGCCTGATTTTACCCAAAAACTGTGCAGTAGAAAGTCCTGTCCACCAGAGATAGAGCACCCTGAAGCAGGTTTAAAACATAATCACAAGTTATAACTCACTTTTACTGGATTAGACTCACAAAATTAAACATGGTTGTTTTTTGCTTACAAATGTTGTCAAGTATATGAACTGTGCTGTAAATGAGATTCTAACCTCCTTGTGGAAAGCAGTCATAAGTCTTTTTTTTCCCTTGAATAACCTACAGCGACAATGACTCAGACAAGACTAAACTGTAACATACCTATGATATTTATCTGTTTGGCAGTCTAATCTGTGAAGGCAGTGCTGTTATTGCCATCAAGATCCTCATGCATTCAGAGCTGACCCAGCGTCCCACAGCAACTATTTGTCCAATTATCATGGACTCCACCTTCCAAAAACACCATCCTTAGTGCTATTTACAGTATCTCGGTCATGGAAAGAAACTTAATGCCTTCCAGAGATGACTGAAATGACTGTGTCTCCCTGGAGGAATGGCTACCTAACTGTAGCAGAGGTTCTCAAAACAAGCTTCCACTCCTTTCATGATAATGCAATTACTACCTTAGTGCAGTAACGCTTGTCACCCCAGTAAGTTACCATATTCTAGCCAGCTAGGAGTGTCAGGATTATGGAACAGGGCAAACTCTGCAATGGGAACCACCCATGGCTGGAGGAGAGACAGACAATGGGCTTTGAGATGCTCTTCTTGAGTTCCTTGGCTAACACTAGGAATGTGTAAGAGAGTAAGCTGGTCAGAGGGAAAATAACTTCAAGTAGTACTGCACAAGCTCTGCCACTCAACCAAAGCCTTCTCGGAAGCAAACTGATAGGATAGTTTCAGCCACTTCCTGGCACATTGAGGACAGCAATAGTTCCTTCACTTGTAACCCATTCCACTTGGAGAGTTTTTCCAAAGTGTGCCTTACCTGGTCTGGCAACAGACCCCTGCAGTGCTGTGGCTGGAGTTTCCTTTGGGACTAAACTCTGTGAAGGGGCTAAGGCAAGAAAAAAAAAAAATAGGCCTTTTATTTTCTTTTCTTAACAAAACAGAAAGTATTGACTGAATCAAAGGCTAAGTAACTGCTGAAATACACATACTCTTAGAGAGCAGTACTTGAAGTTGGTTTTGAAATATTTCAAAACTTGTATTTCAAAAATTAACTACTACAACACTAGTACAGACTAATACTAGGGATATTTGTCTTTCCTTTTTGTTGTACAAAGACCAAGGAAGGAAGTGGCTCTGAGGACAACAGCACTCACAATTTTTGCTTCTTGGGGTCAAAATCTGTCCAGTCTCTAAAAAACCCAAAAGCACACCTTAGTAGGCAACCCAAACCACCTTCAGAGGAACAATGAATTACACCATTCACCTTACCATTTAAAAAATTCTGTCTCATCTCTCTACTACTTGAGACTCGAAATGAACCATATGATTTATTTTGTACTTTTTTACAGCACCTGGCAAGAGTGATGGGCAGAAAGCAGGTATTCAAGTCATACTTAATAAATCAATTTGATATGTCATTTACTTATCTAGCAGGTACCAAGAACTTACTAGGGGCATGGTACTGTGCCAAGCACCCTAAGAGACCAAATTACATCCTTTCTGCCCACTGGGAACTCAATCTAGTATTAAAGATATACACATATGGTATATCTGGAATGCACTGTGATGTTATATGAAGGAGATTCATATAAAGTGCTATAAGAGTCCAAAGCATGGGAGATCAATTCTAGACTGAGAAATCTAAGGGTACATTAAAGGGAGAAACATAAGAATTAGGCTTTGAAGGACAGAGAGAACTTAGGCTCTTGAAGAGGAATGGAATAGAATACACAATATACTATAGAATGGAAACTTCTTGGATCATACAGTAAAGATTAAGGGCAGAGATATGCCATAGTCACTCAAGGGTATGTCTTCCCATCCTGATACTTCAGTCTAACATCCTAGATAAACTGCAACAAGTTTTACCCTCCTGTGGAAATTATGAATTTTATAGATCTCTCTCGCTACTTGGTAAAAAGTCAATAATGTATTTGTATAAAGAATTTTTGTATGCTTATCTGATAAAGCTTAAAACTACTGTTTAACTTCTGCTTTTAACTCCAGTATTGCTTTCTCACATTTTCAAGGTAAGAGCACAGCAGCCCTTTGAAAAAGAATGGAAACAATTTTAACTAAAATTAAGAACTTTTTCCAATTGCTGGTTCATCTTCCCAAGGCTCACAGGTTTCCCTAGGGTTATATATGATCCAGATAAAAATACTTTCTAATCACTTCATCATTATTCTCTTGGTACCAGAGGGAAAAGTTCCCTGAAAGGAAGTAGAATGGAAACATTTAACAGCAGAGAATATATTTAAGTCTTACTAGGTTGCTTTTTAATTCTTAGAGCTCACCTACCTCAACAGAAGTAGAACCAGAACCCTATAGCACCTAGCCCTGTGAGTCTCTATCTGCTGCAAGGGCAGCGAACTCCTTAACGGCCTTTATCCCTCCCTCTGTCTTGAACACTGATATAAAAAGGTGGAGAAGGGGAATTAACCTTTCCAGAGCTCTATGAGGCAGTGTCCTGGCCCCTTTGTGCTAGGCTCACTGAATCTTTATATAAATTCTGAGAAGCAAGAATTACAATCTCCATTCCACAGGTGAAGCACATGGGGTTATAAGAGGTTAAGGAATTTATCCCACTGTGATTAGTAACCAGTAGAGCTAGAATTTGAATTCTGATATTACCCTGAAGCTTGTGTTCTTTCTGCCCCTTGTCCTGAGTGCTTACCACTCAGAAGTAGGCAGTCAAAGCATTTGGGCTGCATAAATAAGATAGACACTATTAGCTGACCTAGGACACAGCAAACGTCCTTTCTAGCTTTGGCAGTGTCTGGCTGATTCCACCCTAGAGAAACACAGCTTCTGCACCACTTAAGATGCAGAGGAGGAGGAATATTTGTGTGTGAGGGGGAAGGGTGTGAAGGGAAGTGGGGGAGGTGTAAGGACACTTATGCTTCCATTGTTAGGTCACTTTAACACAGTAAATAATCTGAGCTAGATACATATAAATGAAATAGACTAATTTATAAAGACACTGCATCAGAAAGAAACTGGTAACACTTCTCTTACCATTTACTAAATGATTACTATATTCTAGTCTTGTGCTAAACATGTTATATGCATTATCTCTTTGAATGCTTACAACTATTACTGTCCCCATATTACAGAGGAAACTGAAGTTTAGAGTGGTCAAGGAGCTTGCCTAAAAGCCCTCACAGCTAGAAAATGCTGGTGCTGTGATACCAGCCCAAGCCTATCTGTCTCTCAAGCACTTTGCTCCTCCCGTGTCTACTGTCATGAAACCAGATTTTCTGGAAAGCTCTCCTCTGGAGCAGCCAGTCTGGACAGAATAGTCTCTGGAATAGAGTACAGCGAGGAAGGAGCTAGGAGAACCCTGCTCTGAAACTGTTGAGAGCATCTTTACCATGGTAAGAAGAACCTGCAGAAGCTGCTGTTTACATTTCAGGGACAATGCCAAACTCGAGGCTCACAATATACACTTTAAACAAATACCGAACTTTTCTGAGCTTCAATCTACTCACCCACAGAATGGATTGTGGGCTACCTAACATAGTTTGGTATGAAGATGATATAAGAAACATACATAAAAAAGCTTCTTTGTAAAATGAAAAACTATATAAATGAAAGCATATCATTATTTCAGGGCCACATTCATCAATGTAAATTTAACATGGGATTTTAAAAGTATATTTTCCCAATTTATTTCCAATAAATGAAATATCACTATTGCCATTTAGCCTAATCTTCTTCCTCCAAGTAGAAAGGGAGTTATGCGTTCTCTTGTGGAACAGGTCATCAAAAAATGGACAGTAGGCTCAGTCGATGTGGCTAAATGGTTGAGTGTCGACCTATGAACCAGGAGGTCAGGGTTCAATTCCTGGTCAGGGCACATGCCAGGGGTTCTGGCCTTGAACCCCAGTAGGGGGTGTGCAGGAGGTAGCCAAATCAATGACTCTCTCTCATCATTGATATTTCTATCTCTCTCCCCGTCTCCCTTACATCAATAAAAACATATTTTTAAAAAAATGGACAGGAGGAGATGATGCTACGCCCAAGTACATACCTATGCTGGGTAGAAGCTCTGGATGGGATCCCACCTTCTCCTCCACTAGACCACTCGCAAGCGGCTCAGATGCTATGCCAACATGATTGTTTTTTGTAGCCGGCGCCACGGAGATGAGCTCAGAGGGTACCAGAGTGGTTACAATCGAGCGTACACTGGTAGGGAGAGTACTGCCAGGTAAGCTGGGTCCTGCTGAGTTGGAGCCCGAGCCCACGGGGCTAGAGGTCATTTTTAGCAGAGTGGGTGTTGGGGGCGTTGGGGTTTTACTGTCCAGCTCTGTGGGTAACTGCTCTGTTCCCATGAGCCCAGAAGCTGTGGTCTCAAGCCCGTGGCCTTCAGTCTCTCCATCTGTACCATATTGCTCTTCCCCTTTCTCAAGAGAGCCTGTAACTTTCTTACATGCCTTGGTTAGCAAAATCTGGCCGATTTTGTCCACTTTTCCTTTGCTCTTACTAGATGAAACTGGGCTTCGCCGGTTGACAGAGGAGCCTGGACTATTGGTCAAAAGGGGAGAAACCATTGTAGTTGACTGTGAAGAGGGCAGAGTACTTTGATCTGCTGAGGTGCTCACCTGAGGACTAGCCTCATCTGGATTCAATTCTTTCACTTGCTGGACAGGGGGATGAGGAGGGACTACTGGAGAAGTTGTACAAGGTGGGGAAGGAAGCTGAACAGGGGTAGCTCGTGAGTTAAGGACCAAGGGTCGGCCTGTATGTATGTTTGGAGCAGGACTACTGGAGGGAACATTAGGTGGTACAGGAGCAGAAGAAAATTTTATGTTCTGAGGTATGTGTAAAGGGCCAACGACTGCAACAGAGGGAGGCATCAAGCCAGAGTTGGTTGTCAGTGGGGCTGCAGGAATTGTGCTTGGCTGTGATCCTTTCATAACCTGAATTATTGAGGATGAATTGATAAAGACAGGTGTGATGAACTGAGGCCGGGCATTAGACTGAGCAGCTGACTGTCCCTCCGAAACCATAACCTTGCTACCCACATTGGGCATTGTGACGACTGTTGACATTAGTGCAGATTGCAGGTGAGTTGGCAGAGCTGCTGATGTGTTAGCTGAAGTTGTGATGGGATTGGAAGTTACGAAAACAGTTATCTGATTTGGGGGCAAAGGAGTGGAAATGGAGGAAGAGCTGACAGGTCTTGAGATTACCGGAGGGATGCTTGGTGCAACATTAGAACTGACCTCACTCAATTCTGTATGCACAAGGGTTGAACACGGCTCATTACTGTGAGGTAAATTTAGGGAATTTGAAGGTTCTTTAGAAGACGGATCCTGCAGTGTGGGAATGACAGATGCTTTTTTCAGATCCTCCCCAGAAACTACTGGAGGTGTTACTTCCACATCTGTAAGCCCAGGGGGTTTAATGGTCACATTAGGAGCTCCAGAGTTGTCAAGAAGTTGACTTAATGATGTTGGTGCTTCCCTCATAGCAGGAGACACCAAATTTTTGTTCTCTTCGACACTGGTAAGTTTGTTAGGATCCGAAGGTTGGCCATCTTTTTTGGATTGATCTTCAGGGACAACCATTTTAACTTCTTGGGCAGGTACTGCTTTTAGCTCAACGTTTACCTGCTCCTTCCTACCCTGGGAATTCTGGCATTCACTGTCCTGAGGCATATTCAAGCTCTCCTTGTTATCCTCGAGACTGCCTCCCACGGCAGCCACAGGCATGGTAGAATTCTGAGGATTCAGCCCGCTGTTGTTAGGAAAGCTCCCAGGTACAGGGGGATTGGTCAAAGGAGTGGGACTGACCAATACATTCCTTGGCAACTCCACGTTCTGCAACAGCGCTGCATTTGTCTGAGAGGCCAGAGTAAGTTTAGGGGCTTTTGAATTTTGTCTCCCAGGACTTGGAGTGGTTTTCCTACTGGACCCAGGACTAGACCTGCGACTGTTGCTTGGGCTTGCCCGTTTTGTTGCTCCAGAATTAGACTGCTTTCCAGAATTCACCACCACAGAATCTAATTTGTGAGTCTGTGGGGCAGCAAAATTGGAAGGATTATTCATAGTAAGATTTGAAGGTGCTTGCCCGATGGCCTTCAAAGTTGTTGGATTTAGACCCTGTTGATCAAAGCCCCTGTTTAAATTTGGCCTAGGAGGTAAAGGAATATTAATCTGTGGGGGAAACAGTCCTGCTATGGAGGCATTGAGTCTTTCTGGTGATAGACTGATCTCTGAAGGTTCTGTGCTGGGAGGGCGGTTGTTGGGTGTCTGAGGATAATAGGGCCTGGGGCTGGCTCTGTTTGGTGTTTTAGGCCTAGATGTTTGGGTTGGAGCAGCCACATTCGGAAAGTGGTGGCCATGAGAGCTAGGCAGGGAATTTATAGGGGGCTGCTGGGGAGTTGCACCTTGAGTTGCTGGAAGGGGTGATGGTCCAGGTTTGGGCACTGTCATCATTAACTGATTCTGGGAAACTACTAAATGTGAAGGCATGTTATTTGGGCCTCCTGAGACAGATGGTATTTCAGTGCTACTCGCTTCAGGAAGTGAGGACATCTCTCCCAGTGGTGAACTGGAAGGATTCTGTGGGTTTTCCTGATATACTATTTTCCTTGAATTGCTTCCCAAAGGAGTATTCACAGGCATTGGCATTCTTTGTTTATCAGGTGATGGCGGCACTTGCAAACTGACCATGACAGGCATATTGCCACTCTGTTGCATGGGCATTCTCTGGGAATCTGGGGTCAAGGGACCTCTTGGGGGATGGACATTTTGGGAGACTGGAAGCCTAACTGATTTGGGGTCCTGCTGCATCATGAGCATCATCATCATTTGTTGCTGCTGCTGTTGCTGCTGCTGCTGCTGAGACTGTGGCTGACTGGGAGGTGGTGGCTGCTGCTGCTGTGGTGGTGGCAGTTGTGGCTGTGGCTGCTGCTGTGGTGGCTGTGGTGGGGGTGCCACATGCTGCATGAGCTGAGGAGGCATCTGCTGAAGTGGCCTCTGTTCAACTGGTTGAGAAGGATAACCTAAAACAAGCCCCCAAAATCAGGGAAGTTAGATTTTTAGCAAGAAAAGCTTTGCTACCTTCAGAGTATAGCCAAGCAATACTCATTTAGGCAGCACAGACTGTGCACAAACAGCTCAGGCATGCCTGCTCCCGGAGGACAGGTGCAGCCCTCCATTTTTTAACATAAGCAAAGGGCACACTGCTTAAGGAAGCAAAAAGCAAAGCATCAAGAACTTGAGCTCTTCAGTCTTTAGGGTCTCAATGAGGCATTACTGTACTAAGATTCTGATAGACACTTTGTGCTATGCGCTGTGAGTTCATACCAGCCAAACATTTAGATGAAACGAGAAAAACTCCATCAATAGCAAGGAACTGACCACCCAGCACTGGGGTCTCATGCAGGTATAAATATTTCACTGTATTTGTGAATGAAATAAAGCAATTAGAATTCACTTTTTCTGTTAGCACAGATTAATTTTTTTAAGGCTTGGTTTTGTTGAAAACGCCAGCATCGAAGATAGTCTTTTAATTCTTTCAGCAGAAGTAAAATATAATGTTCTAGGATTCAATTCCTTAAGCGGGATTTAAAATTACTCCAATCCACTGGCTCCACACACAATGCTGTATCCCTCAGGTTCAATCATTTGGGGGAACCCAACTGAATTAAACTGAGCTTCCAATGTAAATCAGTTTAATAAACAGTTGGAGCTAAGAGAAGTTGATATACATATTGAAAATAAAATGAGGGCACTGAAGATTTTTTATGGATATTAATTTTCATTTACTCTTTTACATGTTAAATTTTATTTTCTATGAATCCACAACTGAAGAATAAGTAAGTCAGAAGTGTAGCCTTCAGGAATAAAACATAATTTCAAGAAAAGAACTCTGAGGGACAGTGCCCTATAGATTTGTAGAAGGCAACACTTCAAATGATTCTTTTGTGAAGATTTTATTTGGTATTTGGACCCAAAACCTTACATAATCAACAGAAAGGATGAAAACATTAACCAAGAATAAAAGTGGTTCAGTGGGAAAAAGTGGGCATATAGCTGTGATATAATTTCACAAACTATATTCCATTGTTGCATGTAAAACACATTTGGAAAGTTTTAAGAAGGTGCAGGAATAAGAAGGGTTGGCTCTAGCAGTTGGAAGAAATGCTGGCTCAAGATTTTCACAGACAGCTACCAAATGCTGCTGATAAACAAGGTCAGACCCTGTGCTCAACATTGAATTAATGTCTTCTGGACAAAGATTTCCACTCATTGGGACCAATGAGTACAATGTGCAGAATCCAGTTTTGAAGATTTTTTAAAAACCCTTTTTTGATTTAGGCTCAAGTAACTTCTTTACATTTATAAAGCTAATAACATGCATTTCCATAGGTTTAACTCAGGTTCTCATGTTAAGAAAATTGTAATTTCTATAGAAGCCCCTTGATGTCAGGGCTATGACACAAATGCCTTGTATTTTTAAAATCAGGCCACCAGACAGTACAGTAAATACCAAAGAGCGTAGCACAGACAATACAGCAGCCTCTTGGAAGTAACAGCTAAGGGCATGGCTGCTATAAAGTTCTAGAAACTGGAGGCAGCAGTCCAAAGGACACTAATGATAAGACAGAATGGGGCTGCTGTAACAGAATGACGGAGAGGAAAAGCCAGGACACACACAGTGCATATAACATAATTAAGAACCAAATTTATTAATCAAGGGATGTAAATTCATATGCCTTTAGGGGTCAGGATGGTTGTGAAGAGAAGTGGGCTGATATAAGACAGAAGTAGTCCTGTGGACAGAGTCAAACCGCAGAGCAAATGTTCTGTCTAGAGGCATTTAAATTCAGGTTTTTGTTTGGTTTAAGATACTGCATGACAATTCAAACACATTATAGGCTAAACTCAGCCTGTAGGTTCCCAGTTTGCAAACTGTAGAAAGGAAGCAATAATCCCAGGTGTGAGGACCACTGGGATTCATAAAACAAGAATTGAGATGTGTCTGACGGAAGTAGGTACCTTCCTGTTCGTAATGCCTTCTATACGTTATTGCCAAAGACTAGTGACCTCCCAGCCTCAACTGTGCTGCTGCAACTCACTGATGAGAAGTGTGGCATGCACAAACAATTTATAATAAATAACACGAAGTACTGAAATCATGATGGACTTAATTTTTTTTGATTCGCTTTTAAAATACATAAGTTAAGGGTGGATAAAAGTTTATCCCTAAAATGACACCACTCTCACTTAATATGCCAAAAAGATGGTGGAGTAACTTGTGAGGAAGAAACAAACATAATCCTTTGTACACATAGAGAGTGTCCTAAATGTGACAGGCTTCTGTGTTTTCAACTTGTCACAGGGGAGGAAGGTTACAAATCACTGCTCAGGTATACATACTGTGGCAGCTGGCCTTGGTTCTGCAATGCCTAGATTGGAATGAATGAATTTTGGAAACTTTCCTTTTCAACATAATTTTTCAACATTTAGAGGATAGTATTTTATATTCAGAGAGGGGTATAACATAGGGGCTTCAACAATATTGGTCCCATTTATTATTAGGCTAGGTGGTAGGTTCACAAGTGTCTTTTTTATGACTCTTTACATATTTTTTTATGTTTAACGATTCATAATAAAACTTCTATTTAAAAACTTATTTTAAACTCTGGCAGTTCTCTGCTCTGAGAAAGTCCCAGGAGGAAAGGCTGCAGGAAAGACGCAGGCAAGCGGGATTAGAGTGAAAATATCTTTCCATGTAATCATATTCCATTTTGATGCCAACTAGAACCTTGATACTGACAAGAATAAAGAGGCACTTGACATTTCAGTCTGATCTTATGAGGACTTAAAGACTAATTAGAGCAAAATCTATATGCCTTCAGAAATTATAATTTGAAATTTTTACTTACTATCAGGGCAAAGCTTCCAAATACTAGATAAATACTGCTAATGTAGTTAGGAGACAAAATAATATACTATTGTTTCCCTGAAGAGAAGTCTTGTAATGCTATAAAAACAATGACAAGCATATAATCTTTAACATTTTATCACCTGGTGGCCGGTTTGAAAATTCTGGCAGTTTAGGGCCTGAGTTGTCCAAGTTAATTCCTTGTTCTCCAGGCAATGGCTGCTGATCGGCCTCCTCTAGACCAGCTGGGCGAGTGTCTGGGGTGCTAAAAATAAGTTGCACATTTGAGTAAAATGTACAGTTCATACACAAAACTAGCTTAACCCCTCCCCTATTTCTGAAGAACTAAAATCTGTTTGTATGATCATCCCTACCATTATTTACATCTCCCTAGTCTCATAAAATATTTAATATTTGGCATAAAAATAATCTGGGCCCTGGTCGGGGTGGCTGAGTTCAGTGTCATCCCATGCACTGAAAGGTTGCTGGTTCAATTCTCAGTTAGGGCACATGCCCAGGTTGCAGGCTCGAACCCAGGTACGAGGTGTGCAGGAGGCAGCTGATCATTACATCGATGTTTCTCTCCCCCTCCCTCTCCCTTCCTCTCTAAAATTCAATACAAAATTCTTAAAAAAAACAATCTGGCAATTTCAATAAATTTTAAAATCTACTTAATCTAATAGCACAGCTATTTACTCAAAGTGCTTTCTCCAATTTTTTTTTTTTTTTTAAAGATATCTTTATTGATTTCAGAGAGAGGAAAGGGGAGGGAGAGAGAGAGAGAAACATCAATGATGAGAGAGTCATTGATCGAGCCCACAACCCGGGCATGTGCAATCTTTTAGACGCTTTAACACTTGATCATAGTTTGGGCTATCAACATTATAAAGTACTGTTCCTGCAAAACCACACTATCTCTGGTGTATAAAATTCAACCACAGTCCAGATTGTCTTTTTTTCATGGATATTACAGTGGTGGCTCCCACATTTAAAGTACTTGGCAAGACGCTGTAGGTTGCTGGTGAAAATGGTATTCAGAACAAAAAAATGGAGAATACCAGAAAAAGCTAATTAACTTTGCTGCAGAATGCATATTTGCAGACATCCTCATTGGGTTTGGGATACTTTCATTTTTACCTGGGTGTAGCTTAAAATTTTTAGAGGGAAATGAAGAAAAATGGTAGCTACTAATATCACCGAAGAACCAGAGTGCTCACACTCCTCATTTTGCTTGAAATCTTACACCTAGCTGCACCTTTCTTTCCTGCCTTTACGTTCCCTTTGCCCTGATCTTGGTCACCTACTTTTTGACAGTATTTTATCTCACTGTATTCTGTGTAGTACCATAAGCCTTACCTTTAATCCATTTAAAAAGCCGTAGGACAAAGAAATTTAGAACCTGAAGCAGGTCCTTAGCACATCCAGATGCCTGTATCATCCTTATATGACTTCTCTCTCACTTCAAATTATAGGCAAGGATTCTACAGTATCCTTTACTTTCAAAGAACTGTACTGCTAAAAAAATCTCAGATATCTAGTTCAGCCTCCTCATGTTATGGATGAGAAAACAAAGGCCAAGAGAGATATGAGACAGGCACAACGTTCCACAGTGAACTAGTGGAAGAGCTGGGAGCGGGTGCTCTCCCACTGAACCTATTGTCTGCCTTTCCTAGGAGTCACGCTGTATAAGGCCCTTTCACAATCTGTAGCCCCAACAAGTAAGCAAGCTCCTTCAGGGCTGGTGAAGACAGCAAAAATGCATACCAGTAACAACTGCATAACCTTGCAATTTTACTCCTAGACAGAGGGAGGAATAAATATCACAAAAATTATTCTGACAGGCTGATAGCAGTAAACAATTTAACTTAGAAAGATCTATTGAAAAAATAAAATTGAAAAGCTCACTGAGTCTGAACTCAGAAAAATAGGTTGTTAATATATAATTATTGATTTATAAGATTCAAGAAGCAGCAAGTGAACATTATAATAGAGTACAACCAAAGAAATATGGGGAAGCTGAAAGGTAGTTAGTTTTATTTTGAACATTTATACTTGTTTAACTAAAGTTCTCCTATTCTTTTTTTAAAACATATGTTTTTATTGATTTTAGAGAGAGAGGAAGGGAGAGGGATAGAGATAGAAACATCAACGAGAGAAACATCAATCAGCTGCCTCCTGCACGCCCCCTACTGGGGATCCAGCCTGCAACTTGGGCACGTGCTGGACTGGAAATGGATTTGGTGACCTCTTGGTTCATGGGTCAACACTCAACCACTTAGCCACACCAGCTGAGCCCCTATTCTTTTCTATAGTTCTAGCAATTTATTTCAATTAGGCTGTTTCACATTCATTTTTCACTATTCCCTGTTAATAAATATCTCTGAATTCCAATTTTATAATTAATGGCAAAAAATCCAGTTTAATCAATATTCTTTCTGGAACTATTCTATCAAAACCAAAAACATGACTTAAATTAACACTTAGTTGCAGGAAATAAAATATAAATTAACTGCCCTTCCTGCTGTGATCTTGCAAAAGAACTCACCTGGAGAATCCTTGACCAAAAGGGTAACTGATTTAAAAGGTCCAACATCTTAGTGTAAGATTTTAAGTTTCTAGGGATGATAAAGAGCCTTTAAAGGAAAGGCACCTGTACAAAAAACCATTTCTATCTGGAGACAGCAGGGAGTCTCCATAAGTAGTTTTCATTTCCAAAACACAATTGGCCTCTCTGATTCCCCAACAGCCACTATAAGTCTGAGGTGCTCTGAGGAGTTGCAGTGTGGTAGCATTGGCTATTTTTCAGGCTTTGAGTGCCACAACCCTCCTGAGACTATGGACAAAAAAGACATATATCAGTCAATTGCAATGTTATGAACCTGGTTTGGATCCTTATTTGAGCAAACTGTAAAAAAAAAAAAAATTAATTTGGGATAATCAGGAAAACTTGAACACAGGATACCTGAGAATATGAAGGAAGTATTAGTTTTTCTAGGTATGCTAATGGTATTGTGTGGTCTTAAAAAAAACTGTCCTTATCTTTCAGAAGTACATACTGAAATATTTAAAATGAATATGCTTTAGGCCTGGCTGGGTAATTCAGTTGGTTAGAGCATTGTCCCTAAACACCAGGTTGTGGGTTCGATCCCAGGTCAGGACACACATGAGAAGCAACCAAGAAGTGCAGAATGAGTAGAACAACAAATCGATGTTTCTCTCTCTCTCTCTCCCTTCCTAACATCAATAAATAAAAATTAAAAAAAAATTTTTTTAAATAAAAATAATTTGCTTTAAAACAATCAAGAGGGTAATGGGAAGAGCACAAATGAAGGCAAGATAGGGTATGAGTTGATAATTATTGAAGCAGGGGGAGGATTTCACTTTACTACTCTAATTTTATATATGTTTAAAATTTTCCATCAAAAAAAGTCCACATAGAAATCAAGTACGGTTTGAGGCAAAACTTATCACAACCTACTTTAGATCTTGCTGACTATTTTTCTTCTTCCGAGGGGGCTTCTTCTTCTTCGGTTTATTTGCATTGGTATTGTTTTGTTTATTGTTTACCCCAAAATGGCCGGCAGAGATGTCACTCTGCAATAAGTTGACCAACAATGGGCTTGTTAGCGTGACATCCTTATTGACCGGGAAGCCTGGATTCTGACCACAGGACATCTGATTTCCGTTGGGTGCTCCATTGAAAGGTGCATTGAAAGGCATCCCATGGCCTGAGAAGTGGTTTCCCGAGGCACTATTTCCCTGCATGGCCTGCACATGGGGGGGGACCATGTTGGTTTGTTGCATGCTAACATCAGGCATCATTTGAGACAAGCTGACGTCATTATTTGCCGTAGTAGCAGGATCACCATGCTGCTGGGCCAAGTGAGAACTGGGCCCTGGTGGCCGTAAGACCTGCCCCTGAATCCCCATAACCTGAGAAGGACTGTTGTTCACAGGCCCTTGCTGGGGCAGCATCTGTCCTGACATTTGTCCCGTAAACTGCACCATGTTTCCTTGCATGTTTGGAGTTGGTCCCCTCATTATCTGTGCTGGTCCCGGCATGACATTGGATTGGTTCTGAGTGTTAAACTGTTGCTTATTCCCCTGCATCTGATTGGTCATGATCTGCTCTATCATTGGGTTCTGCTGGAGCAAAACTTGCCCCTGAGGTCCCATCATCTGGTTATGTGGCGCCATCATTTGCGGGCCCTGCTGGGGAAGCATTTGCTTGGGTGGGGTCATCCTTTGGGGCGAGGGCCCAAGACTTTGGCTTTGAGGGTTCACCATCATCTGGCCCTGCGGCATAAGTGGGGTCCTTGAAAGGATCATAGGGTTCTGAGGGTTCAAGCTTCCTTGCTGCTGGACCATCTGGCCCTGGGAGGGCACAATCTGCTGGTGCATGCTCATCATCTGAGATGGTGGGCCCTGCTGGGGCTGGCCTTGTATGTTGCCCAGGTTCACCTGAGGAACCCCAGAACTACCAGTCTGCTGGTTGTTCATGTTGCCATGAATTCCCATGAGGCTGGGCTGCATCATAGTTGGTGGCCCGTGGGACACCTGCATCTGGTTTTGAGGAGGACCAGCTCCTTGACCACCTTAAAAAAAAAAAAAAAGTACAGCTTCAGAAAGAAATACTCTTATCTTATGGTATTAAGATACTCAAATTACCTCAATTAGAAAAACACCCATCACCCATATATCCACTGACCAACATAAACAAATGTGTGTGCTTGACATACTTTCTGTGGGTTTTCTAAAGTATGGAGATTTGACTGTGGGATAACTGTTACATTCTTAATAACTACACAATAGAGAGGAAGAATACATTTCATTACTTCTATTTGGTAACTTAAAGATAGCATTTCAAAGATCAGTAAAATTTACTTTCTTTCAGATTAAACAAACAGCAAGGCAGCATCTCATTATTTTAAAATGATTTGGGTCTGGCCAGTATGGCTGGCTCAGTGGTTGAGTGTCAACCTATAATCTAGGAGATTGAGGTTTGATTCCTGGTCAGGGCACATGCCCAGGTTGCGGGCTTGATCCTCAGTGGGGGGTGTGCAAGAGGCAGCCGATCAATGACTCATCATTGATGTTTCTATCTCTCTCTCTCTCTCTCTCCCGTCCTCTCTCTGAAATCAATAAAGATATATTTAAAAAAATAAATTTAAAAAAATGACTTGGACCCCATAACCCACTGAATCTGTTTCTGGCAAAAGGGATTTTTCCTACACCGATGGCTGGGGTCCACCCTCCAGGCCTGCTTGGGTCTCAGCCTCTAGCTTTGGATGTCAAGGTGGGATCTGGAGGGTATGTTGGGGATATCATGGAGTGGGGCTAAAGTGACAGCCAAATTCAATTAGAACTTTTGCTGTTTCCTGGGGCTCTCTGGGCAGAGCATGGCATCCTCCCTGTGACACCTACCAGGGTCTAGTAACAGATCTCAGTTTGGGGTGGGGGCTGGACCTTAAGAGAACATGTGTGAATTTGTCACGGACTGTAGTCTGGTTTTAGCTTTCATGAATTCAATAAATATTGATAGTGAGTAGATTTAAAAAAATGACTTGTAGGTACCTCAAGATGATGAAAGTTAATGAAAAGCCCTGTAGGCTAGTGAAATAAGCTCTGCTTTAGATGAGTCAAGGAAAAAAAGAATGTGATACATCTTCTTAGGAAAACCTCAACAATGCTGAGAAGACATTTAAAAGTGCTTCTTGAAAAACTAATAATGACTCTATATGTGTGATATCTGGATGCAGTACTTTAAAGAAAAGAACACCAAGTACTTCCTAAGGATAGGTCTCCTCTGCCCCAGTGCGGTAAAAATTATTTACTCCTGATCTGAAAGCTGAGCCTCTAGTAGGAGTCAACTGACAGATGACCCAGAAGCTGTGGGTAGAGGACAGTTAACAAGGGATATTAAAACTTCAGTGACCATCCTTTTGGCAGTTCCTGGTAGACCCCACGGGACATGTTCTATTCTTCTCAGTGATTTCTAATTTAGACAAAGAACACTGCCTGGCTTGTTGCAGTGTTTACTTATTTTGGGTCTTTGGGATTTTCCTACAGCTATCATTCAATCAACAATTATTTATTGAGTACCTAATATGTACAAGGCACTTTTGGTACTGAGGTAATATCAATAAACAAGACAGACCAAATCCCTGACACCTTGAAGACTAGTTGGCAAGAGACAATAACAGACAGACAAGTATTTTTACAGGAAGAAGTAAAAGTTAATAAGGTAGAAATAAAGTAAGAGTACAGAAAGTGACAGGCAAGCCCGACCAGGCATGGCTCAGTGGTTGAGCTGGACCTTAAGAGAACCTAGGATCCAGGAGATCGGGGTTCGATTCCCGGTTAGGGCACATACCCGGGTTGCGGGCTTGATCCCCAGTGGGGGGCATGCAGGAGGCAGCCAATCAATGACTCTCTTATCATTAATGTTTCTATCTCTCTTTCTCCCTCTCTGAAATCAATAAAGATATAGTAAAAAATTTAAAAACAAGAAAATGACAGGCAAGAGTAGAGATATCTTAGATGGGATAATGGGGAAATCAAAACAATATGCACATGTGGAAGAAGGTACCATATAAAAATACAACATAACTGTGCTTGGGTGGAATTAGAAATGATTTTATCAGTTTCAACACTTCCTATAGAAAACATGAATTCACATAGCTCAGGAATGCAGTTTTGCACTAGCAGATAGGGAAAGATAAGCAGTTTGCCCCACCCTCACCCTTCAAAAGGTAGTTTGAACTATGTTTTGTTAAGGTTGGACTTTTCTCATTCCTTAGTGATTTACAATTAAAGCTGGAACCACATAACTAACTCCAAGTGGGGATAGGAGTTGAGAAAATATTTGCACTACCTCAGTCCTAACTGCCTGAATAAGAAAGGGTAAGAGGATTAGCCATGTGGTATCTAAGCAGCTGGAAACATGAAGTCTGGACTTATACAATACTGTTTTACAAATACTTTTTAGCCCTTCAGCTCCACCCTATTTCTCCTCTAAAACAACTTCTTATATACAATACACTGTTGGCATTGAACCAGTACTGATTAAAATCTGGTCTTCAAACACCACAATGTAAATCAGAATTCAAACACTCAGCATAAACATAGCTAACATGTACTATATAGAGACTTTTAAAGTTGCACTTGTCCAAAATGCCACGTGCCTCCATGCCTTTGCACCTATAGTTTCCACTGCCACAAACACATTTTGCCTTTTTACTAACTCAGGGGTTGGCAAACTATGGTCCATGGGCCAAATCAGGCCCATTGCCAGTTTGTAAATAAATAGTTTGGAACACAGCCAAACTCATTCATTTACATACTGTCTCTGGCTACTTCTGTACAACAGCAAAGTTAAGTAGCTGCAAAGCCAAAAATACGGGGTGTCCTCCCCAAAATGTATACACACTTTAACAGCTGATAGCTCAATTTTGAAAACACAATGTATTTTAATAAACACTGCCTTTATAATTGTTCAAAAGTATGTGTATACATTTTTCTGGGACACCCTATATTTACTATCTGGTTCTTTTCAGAAAAGAAAAAAAAGAAAAAAAAGCCAAACTCTGCTATAACTCAAGTTTCATCTCCTTTCCTTAGGTGTTTGCAGGTTCCTGAGACATTTTGCCTACTTTCGATAGATCAGTTACTGCCTTGAAAGAATAATTCATACTTATAGGTTTGAAATTAAGGTGAGAGACCAGGACTTATGTTTATCCTTGTTGCTTATCACAGTATCTACCACACAATACTCTTATTATTACATGCTTGCTGAATAAATCATAGAAAACAAACCTGCATGCTGGACACTTTGATTTGCTTGCAGCTGAGGGGCTCCTGAATTCCCAGGGGTGGTGGTTGTAGTCGAAGGCACCTGACCTTGCATAAAGTTCGGATTGGCCTGTCCTGCTGAGAAGCCAGGTGGGAGGCGTTTAGGCATTCCTTAATAGAAAACAATGAGTAAGGCAGTTACCTAGCAAATTTATACTCTTTCTTAGATGTGGAATGAATAAGGAAGGATGAGCTGCATGAAGTCTCCACTGGCTTAGCTCTCTGTCACACTGGTAAGATCTTTAATAATAAGGTTGGGAAAGATGGTTAAAAAAATCAACACAATCTCTTACATGAGCATTGTCAAAATGAAAAAGAAATACTAAAAAATTTACACTTAGAACATGCCAAGGAAAAGATGGCAATCTGCTCCCTAAATGTGATCTGAGGCCACGTCACAGCAAGGTTTAGAGCTCTTTACTTTTCTCTGTAATAGAACGGACCCCAAAACTTTATATACTTTAACACAGGTACCAATGGGATAAGTTCTCTCATATTCAAACAAATTGATAAGAAGTGCTATAAAACAAAAGCTGGGTCCTGATATTAAATATAGATAGGTGGTATTTTTCTCCATTGAGGGAAATAGATGACAATATCCTTTTGTAGAAAAATTCCTCCCAATATTGTACTTGTCTCTGAAACGATTCATAGGAGCTTCAAAGTGAGGCTATGTAAAATTTATCATTATGCCTTCCCCTCATAACGTTTGCTGCAATTCTGACAAGTATGGTATCAAAAACCATGCTCTAATGGAATCTCACTAAAGTATTACCTCCTTTTATAGGAAGGTTTAATTTCAGAAAATCTGTAATAAGGAGAATCTCAGAATCTACTCATTGTTTATAACATAGGCCTTGATGTGGCCAGATCACCTAGGTGAGCACATCATCTGCTCTATGGAAGCATCAAGACCTAAAGCTCACTTAAAATTTTTTGTATTAGTACTTTTTTTTTTAAGGGCCAAATTTTCAATGTCCTGAAAAACGCTTTGTAGACAAATATGCATTTGTCATTTCTTTAGCAGTGACAAGTCCCCATTTGCATGCTTCCATTGTAATTAAATCAGAAATCATATTTGCAGGAGGGACAACCCAGCTTCCACTGATCCAGGGGTAGATGCCCAGAACAGTGAAGTTTGGAGCTGAAACATTCTTGCATTTTCTAAAAACTTCTTAGCATTCAAGTATTAGAGCCTGCATGTCCATAAAATTAATTACAAGAAAGTGAAAAACTGATGAGCAACTTAATTTCACCAGAAACCATGGGAACATGCCTTTGCTATGTTGCACTAAAGATGCAAGGGTTTTTTCTGGGTAGGCAATGGGTGTCTTTTGGTGGGGGATATGTTTATCAGATGACAGCATTACTGACACTCTCTATACCTTACTGAAAAGCTCCAAGCACATTCATGTGCACTAGATCAATGATTAATAAGAATAAATAATAAACATGGAGATGGATAAGTTTTACTGTAATCGTTTTACCTCTCACACATTAAGCTCCATTGCTTTTTCTTCATACAAGAGGCACCTTACAAAATAAATAAATAAATCTCCTTTAGGTATAACTGGTGGAATTCCCTCTCTAAGGAGCAGGCATTGACATTATAAAACTATAGAAGTCAATGATTTCTGAACTTACTCCCCTTTAATCAAATTTAACAAATACCATGCTACTTAGGATTATCAAAATTGAAAACTAGAAGGGCCTTTTCCCCAATAAAACCCTGTACTTATCTTTTCATTTTTGCTCTATTGCATAATCTTAATTTTTTTCTATAGCTGAGCAGTATAAGTTGTTAATAAAATGCATGTTTCTTTTGGACATTTTAATTTACAAGATCAAGCAAAAATAATTTGAAAATAAAATGAGCATCTCTACATTGAATTTTACCTGCATTTTTATCCAGAGAGCTAGCTTAAACTTAACCAGTAAGATACTGCATAATGAATCAAATTAACTAATTTATATCAAATGTCACCACTATAGCCACAAAACCAAATAATTACATCCTTATTTCACTCCCTCCATTATCTCCTATCTCCAATAAATTTACCAACACAAATAGCTTCAGTGTTCCTCACCTCCTATGCCTGGATGTAAACTCTGTGGCCCCTGGTTTGGTGGCTGCTGCTGCATCACCATGAAGTTAGGTGGCACGTTTCCCTGTTGAACCATAGGATTCCGACCCGGAGAGCTGACAGGCTGTTGAAATCCCTGGGGAAGTGGGTTATTTTGAGGTGGCCTTGGTCCCATCTGCTGCTGAGTTTGGTTAACAGTTGGGGAGGATGCAGGGGATCCCTGCTGGAAGGAGGAGGGTGAGGAGGCAGGAGACTTGTTGGTGAGGTGGGGCTGCTGCAGGGGTGTTGGAACCCTGGAGGGCCCTCCCTGCATGCTCTTCATCTGAGGAGCTGTGAACTGGCCTGGATTGCTCATCTGAGGAAAGTTTGTATGGGCTTGTGAGGCTTGCTGGCTGCCAAAGGGGTATGGAGGGGGAGGGTGGGAAGGTGTCTGTACCGTGGCTAAGGATGGTCTTGCCTGAAGTTGCTGTTGCATTGGGCCAGGCAAGGGAGCCTTCTTCCACCCTTGGTTTGCAGTCATTGTGCCCAGAGAACCCTGGGCTGGAGGAGGCTGAAGGGCTCCAGAAGGCAGCTGGTTCCAGCCTGGAGGAACAGGCACCTGAGTTGGGGCAGTAAACTGGGGTCGAATTCCCTGTGGCTGTTGCTGCTGATGTTGCTGTGGAGGTCTTGCCTGCAACTGTTGTTGTTGCTGCTGTTGTTGCTGCTGCTGTTGTTGATGCTGCTGCTGCTGCGGCAGCTGGGGAAAATTAGCTGGGTTCATTTGTCTGTTCACAGAGACAGGCTGCATTGGGTGGTGCGGGGGCGCTAAAGATCCTGAGGGATGACTCTGCTGCTGTATATGGAGCCCAGAGAGGAGTGGATCCATTGCATCTGTTTAAAGACAGTCAACAAAGCAAAAATTAACTAACTGAAACCTAGATCCTAGAGCAATCGTCTTGACAATTCTGCAAATATAGAGTAAAATCTGCTGGTACTATTCAATGAAATGTTTGTGACATCTTCTATATGAAAAGCAACATACCAAGGTGATAGGCAAATCTTGTCTAAAAGAGCTTATGATTCAAAAGTGACGTAAGAGCCAAACATAAAACGTGGAGTCGTATTTTCAAAGCATATTCTGGAAACTGTGTTCAATAGCGTTATAAGAAAACAAAACAAAACACAGTCAATCAGGTTTGGGAAACATTGGACCTAACAACTTTACTGTAAGACTTTCAGCTCCTCCAATATGCTAATTTTGTATCTCCAGGAGGAGGGTGCATTGATCAAATTTACTTCAATGTTTAGAATTCTCTGTCATGGAGTACCCTGCAGGACTAAATAGGCCAAGGAACGCATTTTTTAGAAATGTTGGGGTAAAACTTGTAAGAGAATAATGAGAAATTATAAGAAGGAAATGATGACTTTTAGCTTGAAGAAATTAGGGCAGATTTGTAAAGAAGGTGGCATTTAAGTTGGGCAGTTGGGAACTGCATCAGAGACAGCTGAATTTTGTAATGATCTGTGCAGGGAGTTCCAGTCCCTTTGATCCTAAAAGACTGGAGTCATTACCTGACTGTGAAGCAGGGCGAGGAGTCCTGGGCTGCAATTCTGAATTGGGGCCTGGTGCCATCATGGAAGATGACATGTTTCCACCCTGGTGTATCATAACATTGGCTGGGTTGGTCATTCTTATTAATCCTAGAGGGGGGAAAAAAAATCTCTAGAATAGAGTATTGGAATTGGCACAATGTTTTTTGTTTTTTAATGAAATATTTCAAGAATATTCCTCCTATCTTATAATTGGGGTTAACAGTTCCGTGCATGTTTTACATGTTTTCTACATATGTAGGTAAACTGCACTGCATTTTTTGTTTGCTTTTAATCTTCATATAAGTGGCACCATACTATATGTATTCTTCAGTTTCCATTTTCACTTAATATTATTTTTTGAGCTTTATCCATCTTGACTGCCATAATAGTGCTCTATTTCATGGAACCCATACATCCATTCTCCTGTTGATAAGTACTAGCTCCCCACCCTCTACCCCACCCTAACTTTTCATTCTTAGAATTTTGTAATGTCATGTATTCTTGTGGACATGTGACAGTGTCTTTGTACTATATAATTAGAATTGCTAGGTTTTAAAATATAAGCATCTTCAATTTCACTAGATGCCAGTAAACTGCTCTCAAAAGTGGTTGTACCAATTTATACTCCAACTAGATGTTTGAGAACTCCTCTTGCTCCATATGTTTCTAATTTCTGATACTCTTATTAGACTTTTTAGGATTGAGCATTTATGTTTGTAAGTGATAATAGCCTATAGTTATCTTCTCTTTCTGTCCTCCTTTAATTTTGGCATCAAGATGAAAATAGCTTCAAAATAAGTTAGAAAGCATCTTTCCTCTTTTTCTATGCTCTGGAAAAATACGTCTATCTGTTCTTTAAATATTTAGTAAAACTCACCTGTAAAATCGACAGGGCCCATGGGTTATACTAATGGGTTCACAGGGAGCCAGATTTTTAATTATTTCAATTTCTTAAGTAGTTGTAGATTTTTCAAGTTTTCTATATCTTATTAAGTCAGTTTTGGTTAAATTATATTTTCAAGAAAATTGTTAACTTGCCAGTGCTTTAAATTCTTTTTTTTTTTTAATCCTCACCAGAGGATATTTTTTCCATTGCTTTTCAGAGAGAGTGGAAGGAAGAGAGAGAGAGAGAGAGAAACATCGATATGAAAGAGGCACATCGATTGGTTGCCTCCCGCACGTGTCTCCACTGACTGGTGGCCAGGGATCGAGCCTGCAACTGAGGTACATACCCTTGGCCAGAATCGAACCTAGGATCCTTCAATCCGCAGGCCAACGCTCTAATCACTGAGCCAAACAAGCTAGGGCAATGCTTAAAAATTTACTACAGTACAGTTATTCATGGGAAACTCTTTTTTCCATTCTTTTTAAAGATTGAGACACAATTCACATACTATAAAATACATCCTTTTAGATGTACACTTTTTTTCAGTCTTTGCATTTCCTGTGCCTCTCTTTTTCTTGTCTTAGCAGGTTCATCATTTTAGTTGTCTTTTCAAAGAAACATCTTTTGGTTTTGCTGCTCTGTTCTACTATTTTTTTTGAATTCATACTTTACTTATTTCTGCTCTTATCTGTATTATTTCCTTCCTCCTAAATTATTCCTCTGTTGTTCATTTTCTTAATTCTTAAGTCATACACTTAGCTTGTTAATTTTCAGTTGATGTTCTGCTCTAATATTAAGCATCTGAAGGCTTCATTTTCTTCCCGGTGCTGTACTGGCTACATCTTACAAATTTTGATATGTGCTATTCTCATTACTCCAAATATTTTTTAATGTCCATCATGACTGATTTTTAAAAAATCATTGGGTATTTAGAATGTATTTTGATTTCTAAAAATATGGAATATTTTAGTTAGTTTTTGGTGTGTGTTTTTTTGTGTTTTTGTGTGTGTTTTTTTGCCACTGACTTAATTGCACTACAGGTTAGAGAACATGATAAATATTTGGCATTTATCAAAACTTGCTTTTGGAATAATTCCATCTGTGTTTGAAAAGACTAAGAATCCTTGATTTCTATTTACAGTTGACCCTTGAACAACATGGTTTTGAACTGTGCAGGTACACTTACATGTGGATTTTTTTCAATAAATACGTAAGTACTGCAAATGCATTTTCTTTTCCTTATGATTTTCTTAATAACATTTTTTCTCTAGCTTACTTGTGGTTGGTACCCCTAACCCCTGTGTTGTTCAAGGTCAACCGTATGTCCATTATATCAAACTATTTGAATTATGTTATTCAAATTTTTTTTATCCTTACTTATTTTTTATAAGCTCAATACATCAATTACTAAGAGTGGTGTGTTAAAATTTCTCCTAAGATCTGCTATCTCCATGTAACTCATTTTTGCCTCACATATTTTGAGGATAGGTTATTAAGAGCATAAACGTTTGCCCGACCAGCATAGCTCAGTGGTTGAGCATCGACCTATGAAACAGGAGATCTTGGTTCAATTCCCGGTCAGGGCACATGCTAGGCTGTGGGCTCAATCCTCAGGCGGGGATGTGCAGGGGGCAGCTGATCAATGACTTTCTCGTCATTAATGTTTCTCTCTCTCCTCCTCTCCCTTCTTCTCTCTGAAATCAATAAAAACAAATTTAAAACACACACACACAAAACCAAAAGTTTGCCTGGCCAGGGTGGCTCAGTGGTTGATAGTCATCCCATGAACCAGGAGGTCACAGTTTGATTCCCGGTCAGGGCACATGCCTGGGGTTGTGGGCTCAGTCCCCAGTAGGCGCCGGGCAGGAGGAAGCCAATCGTTGAGTTTCTTTCTCATTGATGTTTCTATCTCTCTATCCCTCTCCCTTCCTCTTTAAAAATCAACAGAAACATATTTAATAATAAAAAAAAAAAGAACATAAAAGTTTAATTATCTTTCTGGTGAACTGTTCCTTTTACATCATAGAGTGGCCCTAATTATCCTCCATAAAACTTTTTATCTTAAATTCCGTTTTATCTGATAAAAGTTATTCCCCCTTTTCTTGATTAATATCATTTGGATTAACTTTTTTCCTATCATTTTAAGCTATGAACTGAGTCTTTTTAATTTGTGGGTTTCCTGTAAAAGCACATAGCTAAATCTGATTTTATTATTGATTCTGATTACTTTCTTTTTATTAGAGTTCAGAAACCATTTGCCTTTATTGTTAATTCCTGATATATTTGGTTTATCATTTTTATGATCCACTGCTTTTTGCCCTTCTTTTTCTGTGCCATTCTATTTTTCCTGAATTTTATTGGATTTTTTTTTTTCATCATGTCCTTCCTTCTTATCCTTCCACTAATAGTTTAGAAGTTATATGCTCTATTTCTACTATTTTAGTGATTATTTTAAAATGTCAACAGACATACTTGACTTAAAGTCTAAAGGCAATATATGGTCATCATTACACTAAATAAGTCAATGCTTATTTAGAAACGTTCACCCCAGGTTTACCAATTATTTAGCTCACCATTCCTTCTTAGCTCTTATTTCTTCCATCTTAGGTTCAATTTTCCTCTTCCTGAAGTACATCTTGAGCAGTTCAATTAGCAAGGGTCTGTTAATGGTAAATTCTCTTAGTCTCTTTGAAAAGACCTTTATTTCATACTACTGTTGATAGTATCGCTAGGTTTAAAATTCTAGGCTGTCCATAATTTTCTAATCACTTTGAAACATTATTTCAATGTTTTCTGGCTTCCAATGTGGCTGTTGAGAAATTAGCTGTGGGTCTGATAGTCTTTCCTTTGTAAATAATTGGTCTTTTCTTTTGAGTTGCTTTTAACATTCTCTTTGCTTTTCATGTTCTATAGCTTTACAATTTTGTGTCCAGATGTGGATTTATTTTTATTTGTAGTGCTCAGGGTCATTAGGCTTCTGAATGTGAGGACTCATTTCTTTCACCAATTCTGGAAAAATTTCAGCCATTCTCTATTTGACTACTGTCCCTCCTCAATTTCTTTATCTTCTTCCGGAACTCTTCAGACTTATGTCAAGCCTTCTCATTTTATCCTTCATGTCTCTTGACATTTTTCATTTTCCATCTCTTTTATTTTTTTCTCTGCTGCATCCTGGGTAATTTCAAGTTCACCTTCCAATTCAGCTGTGTCTAATTTGCTGAATAAGTTATTTACTTCAATAATTTAAAAATGTCTATAAGTTCTATTCCCCCCCAAGTCTATTTTGATAGTGTCTTGTCCTCTTCGTAGGGTTTTCATAATTTTAAACATCCTAATAATCCCATTAGTTAAGAGGGAGGGAGTCTATTCCTAAATGTTATAAGTTTGGAGTATAATCGCATTTATAATAGGCTTTAACTATGAGAATCTGCAGTGGCTTGGGTTGAGAATGTGCCTCTCCAGAGCTTCAACAATTATTACCGGTCTAGAACCACTTGATGACTTAGCTTGGCTGTTCCTGGGTCATTTTAATACAGGGTGGGGCAAAAATAGGTTTACAGTTGTTTGTATGGAAAATAATACAATAATAAATAACAATACAAGAATAAACTCTGTGTTTTACATACTCACAACTATAAACCTAGTTTTGTCCCACGCTGTATATTAATGTCCAACATGCATGAGGATAGAGAAAACAATTCCACAACCACCTTTTCCCTACCCCCCAACTAGGAGCCCAGCCCAAGAGAGACAAGTTTTGCATTCGTCTTCCTGTGCCAGAGGGTAAAAATTTTCAAAACAATCTTTCATTGAAAATTCTGGCTTCATAAGGAATTCTGAATTCTAACTTCCTTCTTTATGTAGACCCAAGGCAAGATTCATGTTTTATCCCTTGGCCTCTGCAGAATCTTTTCATTTGTTTACTGCTATCTAAATTTTCTTCTTTGACTTCTTTCTTGCCCTGGGGATAAGCTCAACTGTGCATTAAATGCTATATTTTTATCTAGCATTTTTAGGTATTTCATAGTTGAGGAGGGTAGTTAGGTAAATGTTAACCTGTTTTGTTTCTTAGGAACCCCATTCCATTTTTCAAAGATGGAAATTAGACAGTAAGAAAGTTCTTAGGAGATAAGCAGGTTTTCTTAGTCAACATTCAGCCTCCTACACTCAGAAATGTTCAAATACATGCTCACTACATGCTCAGTAGCGATACTATAAAATACATTCCAGTACTATGTGGGCATTTGGACTAGATCCATGGTTCACAACTTTGCGGGTAACAACATTTTGTCCCCCAGGAAACACTTAGCAATGTCTGGAGACAGTTTTCATTGGCACTACTGGGAAGAAGGGGTCATGCTGTTCTAGCATCAGGTGGGTTGAGGCCAAGGATGCCGCTAAACATCCCACAATGCACACAACAGCTCCCCACAGCAAAGAATTATCAGCCCAAAGCATCAATAGTGACAAGGTTAAGAAACCGTGACTAAATGGCTACTATGGAATCCTCACTAATCTTGAGATTCTCTAAAGCCAAGGAAAAACAAAGAGGCTATGGTTATGGTTTGAATTACAAAAGACTTGCTTATCAATCAACTTTCTGTTGCCAACGCTAAGAAAGAAAGTAGTGTTAAGAAAAATTTACAACCTAAGACATTCTAGATGCACAATCCTAAAGTCACTTATTATTGTTTTATAGGGTACTAAGGTCTCTTTCCCTAGAAAAATTTCTCTGCTTAGTTTAAACTAATATTAAATTTGTTTGCATCCATGTCCCCATAGACAATAGAGAAAAACATTCCTGAAGTATGCTTGGCAGTAAAGAAAGATTAGGGGTTAAAATGTTACTGTGACTACAGATCATTACTCATTATTCCTGAAACTTCATATTATATATTATCATAATCTGTGGCCTACACTAAATCTAGCCTGATTTCAACCTAAAGCTTCTAAGTTTCTTATGTTGACAATAAACTACATGTATCGCTATAAGTTAGACTCACCTCCCACAGATGCTTAGTAAGTATGCCTGCTATTTGCCAGATACTAAACAGATATTAAGAGAACTATTTGCCAGATACTAGGAGAGCTTGCAATTTGTGTGCTGATATTGGTTTAAAGGGATCCTAATGTTTTAAGGCTGGAAGGGATCTATATAGCATTGTTTTTAGGACATAAATATGTTTACAGAAAACTAAGGCCAGTAAATATTAAGTCATTTGGCCAGAAATCGAGACTAGAACCCAGACTGAATCTTATCCCATGTCTATTCATTCTTTTACTAACTACATGCAACTTGCTAGGCTCTCCCCACTCTTCTGACCCTAGTTCTTCACTAGTGGCAACAGCGCCACCTATAACCTCTCATCAAGCTCCTTGACACCAAATGCTCAGAGTTCTATGGAGAACTAAATCTACTGACTCCCTAATATAGGCACCAGGCTGGGTATTTTCCATCTACTATATGGTTCTCCACAATAGCCCAACAGCACAGGTCCTAACATATAATAGGCACTCAGCAAATGTTTGCTACATGGCTCCTCCACCTTCAAGCATGAGCTCAATAGATTACAGGCTCTATTATCTCATTTTATAGGTGAAAAACTATTGTTTGGGGAGATGCAATGACTAGCTTGAGGTAACCATTAAATGGCAGTATCAGGATAAAAACCTACTTCCAATTCTATATGTCCAAGTTTTCAGCTACCATTCAGAACAATGGCATTAAAAGGTGAGCTTCTCCATTCTCCTGCATGTCTTCAAGAGCTGCTATGGTAGGTTGGAAGGTGAATGACTGGGTATAGTTTCAGGTGCTTAATCTGCTTCAACCACAGAAGCTGTGATTTTCTGGTTTATTTGAATAAAAGGTCCTGCAGTAGAAAAAGTATGAAAGCCACTAGTGTAGTGAAAAGAGCACTAAACTGGGAGCTAGATCAGAGATATTTAGCCTACTGCTACTTGAGCCTAGGCAAACTGCTTCCTTTCTGTGAGCTCCACAGCTTCCTCAGCTTTAAATGAGAGAACCAACTCAATTCTAATATTCTGTGATTCGCAGAATGTTGAATTCAATTTCCAAAGAAGAAATTTCAGGATTACTAGAAAAGGTAGCAAATAATTTATAACTCTCAAGTTCTAAATATCTAAAAACACACATTCTTCTACAGATTCCACATAAGCCTGCAAGAACTCAGCTCAAGATACTCAGCCTTAGAGAAAGCAGGAGTCGAAAAGCTACATTCTCCATTATGCTATAAACATCCTGAGGGTAAGATATATTTTACTCATTTCTATTTCCAACACTTAGCATAGGTCCTATTATACAACAAGAACTTTATAAATATTTGCTGCATTGCTCAGTGCTCATCTACCTTTAAGCATGAACCCTAAAGATTGTAAAGATTATATGCTTTACTTTCTGTGAATCTAGATAACCTCCTAAGAGTGACTTCATATCTTGATTTCCTGAACTAGTAAACAGAGATGTGCCAGGAACTCCTGCCTATCTTGCAGGACCCAAATAATCATCATACATTAGCAAATAAAGCCAAAAAAGGAGACTAGTAAAATGTCATACAATTGAGTGGGAGATCTCACCTGGACCACTTGCCATGGGAAATCCTGCCTCCATCCTAACTGAATTTCCAGCTCCCATGGGTCCATTCATTCTTACATCTTGGCTTCGGTTCTGAGCCAAAGCCAGGTTGATAGCACCTTCCCCTGAAAATGACAGTCAGGTTATGAAAAAGAAATCATCAGAATAAATGCAAATTTTGTTTTTAAAAAGGTATACAAGAGTTGTAGTTTTCTGTGGGTTCAAAACTATATGGGTCTTTCTTCACCCTCATCTGAACAGGTTTACTTACATGAAGCATGAGGAGAACAATTCTCACAATACAGAGATGAGCAATACAGAGATGGGTATTAATGATACATAGTATCAGCAAAGTGCTTGGAACTCTGAATATTTATTTTCAACCAGCTCATCAAGAGAAAGAGAAAGAGAGAGAGAGAGACAGAGAATGTGAAGGGAAAAAAAGAGTACGGGGACACTGTAATATTTGTGAGCAAAATACCATTTCCCTTTCACTAACTGCAATATAAACAGATATCTAGCAGAGAAATTGATGCAATGAAGAGTAAATAGGTTGTTAAGTGCCCATAGATAGACAAATGGATAAAGATGTGGTACATATATACAATGGCATGTAACTTAGCCATAACAAAGAATGAAACTGTGCCATATGTGACAACATGAATGGATCTAGAGGGTATTAAGTGAAATAAGTCAGACAGAGAAAGACAAATATCATGATTTCACTTATATGTGGAGTCTAAAAAAACAAAATAAAATAACAAAACAGAAACAAAATCATCAATATGGAGAACAAATAGATAGTTGCCAGATGGAGGGAGATGGGGGGATGGGTGAAAAAGTTTGTGAAGGATAAGGTTAAGAAGTACAAGTTGCCAGTTATACAGCATAGAAATATAGTCAATAATATTGTAATAACTATGTATGGTGTCAGATGGGTACTAGACTTATTGGAGTGATCACTTCGTAAGTGATATAAATATCTAATCACTATGTTGCATACAAGAAACAAATATAATATGGTATGTCAACTTAAATTGGAAAAAAAAAAGAGTAAATAGATTGTTACTAATCTACCTCTGAGACATCTGATGATTAGACCAACATTTGTATAGGACTGTTAATGCTTACAAAATTTTGTCTCATTTGAACCTCACAATAGCCTGGTAGGTAAAGCCACTAGAAGTGTTCCAACTGAGTGCACCCTAAACTTAGAGGCAACTTAAATCTTACTTGCTCTAATGATAAAAAGGTCTTTGAGCCCTGGCTGCTGTGGCTCAGCTGACTGAGTGCTGTCCCATGCACCAAAATGTGACTGGTTTGAGTCCCAGTTAGGGCACGTGACCAGCTTGTGGGCTCAATACCCAGTAAGGGGTGTGGAGGAGCTAGCAGATGGATGTTTCTCTTCCTTTCCCTTCCTCTTTCTCTAAAATCAATAATAAGTAAGTAAGTAAGTAAGTAAATAAAATAAATAAATAAATAAATAAATAGTTTTTGAAGTAAGCTTTGGGATGCTTTGTGCCTTTAATCCAAAATTTTCACTATTGTTACTCTGGAGAACAGCACCACCTTGTGGACAAATACAAGTATAGCTGGACTGTGACTGAGGAGTTGAATGTTTGCATTCACAGAAGTCCTTCCTTACAGAGCCAGATGATAAGAGAGGGAAGCTAATGAGAGCACAACAGTTTCCTCTGTCTTGTCGCTGATGTATATCAGCTTTCTGTTAATCAGGCACGTAGTTTAGTCACAGGGAACAAACGTCCTACCAATAAGAGACCAATCACCAGGGGCCACAAGATGCTCTAAGTTGCCCATGGGAGTTAGGAGTAAAAGAGAGAAATACAGATCTTGAGGGTTTCCACTAAAGGGAAAGAACTATTAATATACCAAACTTGCTAGGACATCCTAAGCAGAAAGAGTACTGTTCTTAAAATGGACATCAAATCATATCACTTCTCTGATTAAAACTACTCCATTGCTTTCCACTGCTTTAGAAATGCAAGCCAAACTTCTTAAGAGTCTACAACGCCTCAAATTATGTAGCCCAGTGCTGCTCAAAAGAAATATAATACAAGCCACACATGTAATTTAAAATTTTCTAGAAGCTGCAATAAAAGGTAAAAATAAATTGATGAAATTAACTGTAATATACTTATTAACCCAAAACATCCCATGTATTATTATTTTAACATGTAATTAATATAAAAATTATTAATGAGGTATTTTTACATTCTTTTTTTTGGGGAGAGCTAAGTCTTCAAAATTCAGTATATATTTTACACTCAGAGCACATTTCCAGAGCTCAACATCCATATATGGCTTGTGGCTCCTGTATTGGACAGCCCAGATGTGGCCCTTGCCTATGTCTCTAACCCCAACAACTCACACTATTTTCTCCTTCAATAAAAAGGATTCAGCCTTCATGGCATTATTATTATTATTATTATTATTATTTAGTTTCTTGGGCATACAAACCTGCTTCTCACCTCAAGGTCTCCATGCATGCCGTTCCCTCTGCCTAGAATACTCTCCGCACTATTTTCACATAAGTCATTGCCTCAATTTTCATGTCATCTTAAGTGTCACATGCCCAGAAAGGCCTCTTCTAACCATCTTATGCAAGGTTAGGTCACACTTATCAGAACATCTTGTTATTTCTTTAGAGCACATCCCATGTAAATACTTACTCATTTACTTGCTTTCTTGTCTGCATCCCCCATCGCCATACAAGGGTAACCATAAGTCTGCCCTAGTTTATATCTGTTGTCTCAGGATAGTTATTTTACTCTCAGGATAGTTATTTTACTCTCAAAAGTGATAAATTGTTAAGTCCACCTGAGTTATATCCTTTATACACAGAACAGTGCCTGGTACATGGTAGGTACTCATTAGCTATTTACTGAATATATGATGAACAGTCATTGTATCATAACCTTCCAAAGAATTATAGGCATTTTTCTATATGATAAATGCACTCCTGGAAAACCTCACATTCTGTAAAATCTCACAATGAAAATAACAGGTTTTAGGGGAAAAACATTATTGGGGCAAACTCAAAAATCATGCGGCTCTGTAACCAGAGCTCTAATAAAAACAAAAATTGGTGGAGAAACAAACCCCAAAACACTAGAGTGGAAATGCCTGGTGAAAGGCGCTAAGATAATACAGATGCAGTGGTGCTCTGAGCCAGTGGGGCTGCCATTAAGGCAGGCACAGGAGGAAATGAAACTTGTCACAAGCCAAGAGCCAGGCAATGCCAGGGGGTGCACTTCTGAGGAAGGTACTTGAGTGTAAGTTCTCATTCTTAATTTTCTTAAAATAAAGCTGAAAGGACTTCCACCTATGCAGCAGCTGAGCTAAAGGCTTTTTTCCCCTTATAGATAATTATCCTTCTATTCCCACTATTCTAGCTCCCCTGCCCAGGAACAGTCACAGATGAATAAACATGATTTCTACATTATACTATTATTCCCCTAACTGCCAACTACATATAAGCTAAGTGTTGTAAAAACAAACAAAGAACAACAACAAACAACATGTGGAGAACACTACTGGCTCCCAAACTTGCCAGTCAGGGGTCAACTATAGCCTGTGGGCCAAATCTAGCCTGTTGCCTATTTATTTACATAAAGTGTTATTGGAACACAGTGGCGATGGGGGATGCAGACAAGAAAGCAAGTAAATGAGTAAATGAGTAAGTATTCATTTACACAGTGCCTATGGCTATTTTTGTGCTACAATGGTTGTTGTGACAAAACCAAAAAATTTATTCTGTGACCCTTTACAGAAAAAGTTTATAGGCCCCTACTTTAAATTACCATGAATTTACAGAAGAGTCACAAAATGCCCTCAAAAAAGATGTCTGTCCAACTCCCTGGCCAAAACTCAAAAAAGGGAAGGTACAGGGAGTGTTCTTCTGAAGAACAAACTGTTCGGGGAACAACCTGTCCCTCCACCCTTGCAGCAGAAACCATGACAGTGGCAACACCTCCCTTATAATTTACGAAGGCATCAACTTACTACCAGCTTCACAAAAGTAACAGCTGTTGCCACCACTTTCACTCCTGTCTGTGTTCCCAGGGAATGTGGAGAAAGGAGATCCCCTGGGACACACGTTACCTAAAAATTAAAGAACTCCTTTCTGTAATATATGAATTTCATAACTTCTAGAAATTTATAATCTATTTTACTTCCCTACTGGTACTTACATTTTAATTTATGGCTATAACAATAAAGGGGAGCCAGCATCTTACCCTTTTAAGAACTTGTAGAAAGTAGGTCTGATTAAAAGAAGCAGCTGGCCAGGCTGGTGTTGCTCAGTGGTTGAGCATGGACCCTTGCACCAAGAGGTCTCCAGTTCCATTTCCGGTCAGGGCATATGCCTGGGTTGTGGGCTCAATCCCCAGTAGGGGACATGCAGGAGGCAGCCGACTGATGTTCTCTCTTATTGATGTTTCTGTATCTCACCCTTCCTTCCTCTCTCTCTAAAAAGTCAATAAAAACATATTTTTTTAAAAAAAAGAAACTGGTGTTCCTTTCTCCAGTAGAAAACACTACCCGAAAAACCCTTTTAAATCAGGTAAAAAGGTAACAGAGACCATAAAACATTTGGGGTTTTCAAGAAACCACTTATGTGTTTTTTCTAAACTGTACACGCTTATGTGCTTGTAAACAGTCAATATAGTGTTACTATATCCAGTACTTGTTTGACTTCCACTCTTCCTAAAAGTTCATTGTATCCTATCGATTGCTGTGGAATTGATTTTACTTCTCTGAATCCTTTTAGACAACCCAACATTTTTGAAAATAAACTGATTATTGTTTAAGCCAATATTCCCTCATTTATCAATGATGTTGAATCTCATTTTTCTTTTTTAAGAAAAATATGTTTTTATTGATTTTTAGAGAGAGAGGAAGGGAGAAACATCAATGTGAGAGAGAAACATCGATTGGCTGCCTCCTGCACACTCTCTACTGGGGATCGAGCCTGCAACCCAGGCATGTGCCCTGACTGGGAATCGAACTGGTGACCTTTTGGTGCATGGAACAATGCTCAACCAACTGAGCCACACCAGCCAGTGTGAACCTCATTTTTCAATGTACTTATAACCCTCTCTAAATAATCTTTGTTGGTATTGCCCCTTCTGGGGTACAGCAACCTACAATACTACTGCATAAGATATGTCTCACTTCTATTTACAAAATGTTGACCTCAGCTGCTGAGGTTTTGTGGAACATTTAGGTTCTAAGCAAGCACAGGGTCAGGAGGACCTGGCCCACCAGTGGAAGGGAAGGCTGGAATCGTTGGTTGCCACCTGCATGCATCAATATAGAGGGAAGGAGAGGGTTTTGATTCACGGGGCACCCAAGAATAGAACCTCCTTTGTGCTCCCCCACACTTGGTACTTACCTCTCACAGGTTTGTCTGCCTCACCAGGGTCATGAGGTCCTTTTGATTTCATAAAAGCAAGGACCACATTATATTTAGCCCTGTATTCTGAGTGCTGAAAGAAGGTGGTGCTATTACATATGTGCTTCCCTTGCTTTCATTCAGTATATGTTTACTAAAGAACCTAAAACATGTACAGGCAAACAGAGATACAATGGTGAGCAAAACTAGACATGCTCCCTCCCCTACTTGAGCGTGCAGTCTATGGGAGAAAAAAACAACCACCAAATAATTGTTCTAATGAAAGTGTGAGATAAATGATCTGAGGGGGGGAAAATCCAGACTTTTGTGAGTACACGTAACAAAAAACTCTGAGTGAAGTAGTTCAGAAAATACATCCTCAAGAAGATGTAAGCTGATACTTGAAGGCTGAGTAGGTGTTTAAAATAAAAAGATAGGGAACAATAGTCCATAAAGAGAAGCCATCAATGCAAAGGACCTGTGGCAGGAGGAAGAAATGCACATTCAAAGAACCAAAAGAAAGCTGGAAAGGGTGGAACACAGCAAAAAGGAGAGTTGTACAAGATAAGGCTAGATGAAAAAGGCAGAGGTCAGACCATGCAAAACCTGAGGTCATAATAAAGAGTCTGGTCTTTACTCTGTGAACAGCAGTAAGCTATAGCAGGGAGGTAAGCTGTGTGTATTTATGTAGTGTATTTTCATTTTGAAAAGATCACTCTGGCAAAATATTGCAAAATGAATACTGCTACAAAAATTGTTTAGGGCCTCCCAATCTCTGTTAGATGAGTAAAGAAATAAAAGCTAAGGCTTAGTTGGTAGAAGGAAGCAACTGAAATTTGATATTTTTCAGAAGACAAATCAGTTCCTGGTCAGAATGCCAGTAAAATGAAAGTAAGATAGGCTGACAGCCAAAATGAGCCATGGGAATGGAGTCTGAGTCTATAGACGCTGAAGCACCAGGACCCAACCAGAGACTCAATCCCTTTACCCTAAGGTGCTACAATGTGAAGCACAGGTTACATAAGTTAACTTGGCATTCTAAAACTGAAGAGGAGAGAAACAGACAAAGCAGCACAGGAAATCATGCTACACTCTGCTGTTGTTATGATTTGGGTCCAGGTGGGCACCTTCAATCTGAACGGAGAGAATCCCCAGATCCCGAAGCTGCTGGTTGTTGCTCTGAGCCAGGATCCGTAGCCGCTCCGCTGCTTCCCGGGGGATGTTGAATGTCACACGCACACTGTTCCAGGGCTCCACCTTCTGTACCTTTAGCTTGCTGGATTCTTGGTTGGGAAAGAAAGAGAATAATATTAGTAATCTTTTAGCCACCAGAAGACATGAAACAAACAAACAACAACAAAAAAGTAAAAGACCAAGGCAGACCATCAGCTTGGAGTAGCTCAGAACCTTAGGCTTTGGTGTTAGACTTCAAATCTAATCCCAGCTTTATCACTTAGCATCTGGGTGCCCATGAGCAAGTTATTTAATCCTTTTGAAAATTACCTTTCTCTTCTCTAAAACCATGAAAAAACTACTTTATGAGATTGTGAATGCTAAATAAGATAATACATGCCAAAAACCTAGTGCAGGACCTGCTACACCACAGACACTGAATAAATAGAAAGCAGTAAAATGGAGTAAGATATTAGAGAGAAGAGAGAGGTTAAGTTTAAATTAACAGAATAATATCTACTTCTGGAGAAGCAGAGAACATTTAAGTTTCAAAATTTTAAGTGAAATTCTATAAAAATTCAATTGGCAGATATGCCAACTGTAGAATACTAAGGAATCTGCAACTTATTTAAAGAAACAGCACTATAAAGGACACTAACAGATTTGCTTATAAAAGGTTAAGCAATTTTACCTCAAAAAATATAAATTTTTTGGTTAATTCTTACCCAAGGATATTTTTTCCATTGATTTTTAGAGGGTGGAAGGGAGGGAGGGGGA